AGAACTTATGATGTGGTCGTCCAAATTGAGTTTGCGACTGACTTGTGCGGAAGCATTAATGGATGTTTTGAAGATAAGCTCATTTGACAATGCAAAATTCGAAATGACTCCTTAAAGTAAGAATAACTTGTCAGATGGGTTGCAAAATTAATCCTGAATCTTGAGTGCATTTCAACTTGTCAATATTTTCATAATTAAAAAAGTGCTCAGCATATGCTTAAAAAGTCCTTAGAAGAAGATCTCTATTGAGAGTTCCTCAGAACGACCAACTTCTTTTTTTTGTACGCAAAGTCATCATGTTGCTACCCGTCAGTAGTTGGATGCTTACGTCCCTAGATCAATATAATACAGTAGCTTTTCACTGCGCTCAACAGGAAATGAGCCACTATTAATTAAGTCAATTACTGAGCACTCAATTCGGATGTTTGCAGGTAAAACATATAGAACATTTATAGTGAACTGAATCTTAGCTTCGGAATTTAAGCACACAATGTCAATATAGAACTGAGAATCGACGAAAATAAACCGCAGCAATTCATAGATCCATTCCATGAAGAGTTCGCATAAATTACGAAAACGAGTATAGCTGTGTAGGCGCTATATCGACGACGGTTTTGAGACGTCATCATTCAGTAAATATGAAACACACTCAACTTCTAAGCTGTTGACAAAGTGATACTTCAACAAATTGTATTCATATTGTGGAGTGATTCGAATCTTCGTGAGAATGAGCTGAACACAGCTAAGTATACTATGTTGGCTGACTAAGAAATAGTAAACCATGAACACCGAAACCATCGAAAACGTATCACTACATTCCAAAGTGTCGATCGTTCGATGGCGATAGTAAAAGAGCGTCATTGGCCAGGCTGTGAAGTCTGATGAAGTTGGAAGCGTGTACGGTTGGGAAGGAAGTTCAGATTTGATGCTGAAAACAGAATAAGTTATGGTCTTTATGTCTGTTCGCAACGGTCAGAAATTTCATCGATTCAGCCAATGTTTCTTGTGATATTCAATGCCAAACTCTATTCATTGTGCGGCTAAACGAATGAGAATTAGTTATCATACAATGCGGAATTAATTGACGAGAAACTAAGGTTTCTCACTCGAATTATATATAAATAATGAATCACTTTGTTCATATGTAAGGGCTTAACGCCCAAAATCGCGCATCTAACTTCAGAATGCTATTCAAAATGAACCTTCAGAGATTCCACTTCATTCAAGGATTCTAATTCCACTCAGACGGATATCATTGTAAATTTTCAGAATGTGTTTCGAGAGAATTACGGCAATAAAAGCAGCGTTTGGCAACAGTTGCATGGAAACATATGCGTTTTCGATGAGCACGTTATTGCAGACTAGAACGACAATTTCGTTAACCTCAATTCCGCACGTTTTGAGCTGATTCACATCCTCTTTTTTTGAATGAAATCGCATCGTTTACGACTGAATGAAATATGGAAATTTCATTTGGAGAGCAAATTGTATAGAGCACGCTTACGATTGTAAAACAATGACGGACGGCTCCTTGTTGCAGTCTCATTGCTATAGGAAATCAGTGCAAAACTGTGTGCGTGCAAGAGTTTTTATTGAGCATAAAGAAAACAAAATTAACTAAAATCGAAGTGTGCGAATAATTTGGACGACAAAATCGGGGAGCACCTTCGTGGTCTCTCTCAGTTGATGCGAAAAGAACATGATTTGAATGAGCCAGCGTAAAAATTCATAATTGCTTGGTCGTTCTGAGAAAACTTCTGAGACTCTCACAAAGTTATTCGGAATTGCAGGCGTTATTAAAATTCTGAAGATTTCAAAACACAATCACGTTGCCTGCGTTTGAACGAGAAAACTCATTAACAAATTTTCCAGACATTGACTGAAAAATTCTTCATCAATAACCACCACGAAGAGGGGAATATGAATCTGTGATTGAGTTAGAAACGAAGTGAGTGCTGATGACAGCGTCTAAACGAAATTATCAAATATGTGCGACGGGAGGAACGAGAAAAGGGGAATATTCAATTTTTTTTTTTNCCCTTCAATCAGCCGAGCAGAAACCTAAACATGACTTCCCTTGATAAATTACTTTTCATTAATTCATACTGATTCATTGTCCATTCGTGTAGTATATGCTCCGATGAGCATATACTACACGAATGGACAATGAATACTTCTTCGGATGTTTCGTACTTTTGTTGAGCGTTGGTGTTGCTAACCCAGCATGTCTGGTTCAGTGAGCGGCGATTCACAAAGAAAGGTTGTGGTTTCTTTTTTGAGTGCGATTGATTCAATGCAGATATGTATGGTTGGTGGATGAAATACGACGGCGATAAATACAAACGGATAATGGAAAACAAAACGATTGCGTCGAGTACGACGCGAAGAAAAAGTGACGCGAATTTCCGTCAACACAAATTGAAGCCAACGCCATTGCGGCATGATCATTTCATTGCATTCGACGTTCATTCCTTGAGTTGGATGGACGGATGGATTATATTTGCGTGCTGCTTGCTTGAAGCGTAATTTGAAATTGAACGAGCACTGAGCCAATGATAATTCGAAACGACGAACTTCTCATTGACGAGGAGGATCGATATGCAGTTAAATAAAGAGGTGTTCAGTGCATCATGCACTGAAAACAAAAAAAAAATTACTAGAGGTATGCTCAATAGAAGAACAATAAATGACGACGAAAATGTTCGAGTAAGCGAACGTTAAAAGTCGTTCATGTGAAGTCGCTCTAGAGTGGAACACTTCAGAAATGACTTGCACACGGCAATATTAATGGTTCCAACGGAGTTCACTCATTTATCATTGCATATCCTATTCGTTATTCGTTCCTGATTCCATAATCTTTTTACTCATGAACACATTTGTGTCAAGCGGGAGTGCCGCTTGAATGGCGCTCTTCAGAGCTGAACTAAAACACTCACCTGTTATAATGAAACTGGTCGTTAATTGTCAGTTGACGATCGTGGATGGGTACAAGCGATTTTAATCTATTTTTTAACTTAACATCATCCGGCAGTGAGTAGAATGACTTATCAAGACTGCAGATGTATCACGATCACCATAAATTAGCTGGTGGCCTCCAGGTGCTCCGTTCTAAGTAGTCGTTTGGATGGAAGAAGCTTGCTTGAGCAGGAACACAACCAAAAAAACCTCATTTGTTGGAGCATGCGATGGAAATGATCACGAGGGACTGCCATAATTCACTAGCCCCAAGACCGCATGACCCTATTCTGTCACCGATCCCATCAAGTAAAGCAATTACACAGTTCCTGAGCAGGTGCGCTAACGGTGAAAGAATAACTCATAGAAATAGGTCGAAATATAGTGGAGTTTGAAAATGAGATGCAAAATTGTGTCAATATTTTGTGAGTGAAATCATTTATGAAGTCGAATCGTTTAATGAAATAAATAATATTTGGTAAAATGAAGAAAAATAAAATCATCAAAAATCGCGTGCAATTATGAGTAGTGATGGCATGCGAGCTTTGAAATTTGACTGGTGTCAGTCGGGATCCGATGAATTTCATCATTTCGAACGAGTGCCGGAATGTTCCGTCAAAGTCCGGATGTCGGAATTCTAACCGAATTGTCGGATTTTCCAGATCGGTCGTCGGTCGGATGCCATCACCAATAATGGGCGAAGTCGAAAGCGTTTCGCATAGCATTGACAATAAGAATGAGCACAATACTGAATGAACACATCGTAAATATTTTGTTCGTTAATCAGATATCATCATCAGGTTTCGGTGAAACAAAGGAATTCGGCGAAAAAAAAGATGTTCTGATTGATATTCAGGAAATTTGATAGCATAATGATTCTACGCGTGAATAAGATGCAGATTCGAATGGACATCATTTGACGCTTTACACGGCACGATCGAATGAGTACATGGCACCGAATCGTCCAATTGCATAAATTCTTCAGGCGGAACGAGAATGATTTTCAAAGAAAATCACGATAATGAATGAAAGGAATTTGTTGGAAATATTCGATCACGAGCTAACGCAAGAATGAGAAAAATGCAAATAAGCACTCTCAAAATAGCACTCGCCGCAATGCACGAATAGAAACGTAAAGAAATATATGGATACATGCACGTGTAATAACTAACGCTTTTCGTTGCTAACGTTCAGTGGAAATTAGTCGAATGCAAAATGTACGTACCATAAAAATAATCAGTAGGAAGACATTGTTTAGCACATGAATATTTCAATTGAACAACAACAAAAAGATGAAATTAATTTAAAAAGCAATTGTATTATGAGATAAATATATTTACATTTGCAGAGAAATTAATTGCATTAAATCAAATTGTCGACATAGTAATAGCGATGTACAATTGAAGGTTCGTTGAGTGATCTATCTCGTTATTCGGTATTCACGGAAAGTTTTCTTTTTTTTTGATAGTTTTGCATTCGCATCCTCTCAATTTTCATGCTTCTCCAATGTCATCGACATTACTGTGTGATCGTGAAGCGGATCTCATCGCTGGTGCACCTCCAATTACTGCACTCGACATCTGAAGCGTATCCAATTAGATTGAGTCAATTCTTGGAATTATCTGCTCTAGGAGTCAAATTGCAAAGTGCTCTTCGCGCACGGTTACGTGTTATCATTTCGAGAATATATCTGATGAAGTTTTGACCAGAACAAGTGGAAATTCGCACTACAATATGTTTAAATTTCGATCATTCAAAAATGTGTTTAGCACGGACGTATTTCGATTATGCGGAACTCATTAATAAATTTTGCCGAATTATCAATTATAGGTAATTTAATATCGCATTTTCTTATGATATATGCTGTATGGATCTCCTCATACATTCTTAATGCCTACCGTGCGAATGAATATGAATATGAGATTCCAAACGAGATTTCAGTATGAGATGCAAATGAATATTCCAAAATGCACTTTTGGAATGCACTTCACAACGCAAGCGATTTCTCGCGAAGTATCGTTTAATGTTGAACAATATGTTATTGCTTAAAGTAGAGTTAGAGTGAAAATTTGAGGCTCAACATTTCTCTTTTCCATGATAAACATGATGAATTTGCAAATTTTGTGATGATAACTTCTCACCGAATGCGATAAACCTTTGCCGATCATTGAACCAGACCGGGATTTGGCACGCATTTTCGACAGAGAATTCTCGGCGATGTCGGCACGCTCTTCGGCATCTTCTAACATGTGCTGTAGCTGACGATATTTAGCCAAATTCTGATTGGCAAGCTCTTCCTGAAAGTCGACGATTTCCGATTAATTGACACAGTTACGCGGAAAATCTGAGCAATCTCAACAGAAAAAATGAAGCCAATTCTCAAATGTGTCCGCTTTAAGATAAAAAATTGATTGGGAATTCCTTCCACAACGAATCGCGCAACAATTTTTACTCTGCGCAAAGGATCAGTAT